TAAGAAAAGGACTCACCTGCCAAGCATGCAGATCCTGAAACTTCAGTTTCTCCCTTTGCATTACTGCTCTGTGTTTGGACTTGGACTGGTACAAGGCGTGTAAAGCATGTGCAACAACGTAGACAGCATTGTAGACACTGTAGCTGTGGCCAGTCATGCTCATTTCAAAGGCCAAGGAAGGAAGGTTCTCCAGTTTCTCTTGTCCGCTGCAGGCTTCGCTGTTATGTTTCGCCATCTTGGAATCTGGAAATAAACATCTAAATGTTTGTGTCCAGAAGTGCTCCAGAAAACTGTCTTCATTGGTTTGAAAAATATCTCTTTGTTGGAGAAAGGATTTGAACCCTTGAACCTCACCTGAAGGAACTGTGAAACTTATGGAACCATGGAAAACATTAATATCCTCCCTCATTTGGTGGGACGTGGATGCAAAATCCAGCTGAGCAGTCATAATCCACACCTTGCCCGTGGAATAATGAGTCTTATTTTGTAGTTCACCTAATCCAATTAATGTTTGTAAAGAAAACATGGAGAATATTTCTCCATAGACAACAATTAGCATTGGCTTTGCTTTTGATTATAACTTGATGGATGTGAATCCACTTTTGCATCATATCGATATATTCATCTATATAAGTGGCTTTGGGGATTCTTTCTGAGAAAGCATAACAGTTTCCTCTTTGGGAAAAAAGAAGCTGGAGTTTCTGCAGAAATATCTCTCCGCTTTCATTATCCACAGCAAGAAATCCAACCCATTTCCATCTAAAATACAGAAGTAATTCAACAATGCCAGTATGTTGATGAGCTTCATTTGAAACCATTCGGTAGAAAAAAGGCACCTGAATTTGATCATCTGGAGCAAAAGAACCATAACTGATCTAAAAGGCAAAGAAGATTGATTTCTGGCAATTGTGATAGATGAAATAGGATTTTTATTTAGATGAAATAGTATTTTTATTTAGCATGCTGTTATATTATTGAAAAAACCTAATTCAGCGATAAGCAGAAATGTAATACATCAGGACTAATTTGGCTAATAGTCACAAAGTTTCTATCTTTACTTAGAGATTAAGCTATAAATGGAGTAGCCTACTTACTGTCTTTTAAGAACAACCGTTGAAGCAAAGAAAAACATTAAAAGAACAGAAACCTACAGATGATGTGCATCCAACGACTGCATTACATTCCCTTAGCTCTGTGACATTTGTATCTAAAGATATATTTTTGCAGAAATTGGGATTTTTCATTTCATTTTTTTAAGTGCTCCAACATTGAATGCAATGTATATTTCTAAAATGAAAGGAAAGGGACTAACTTCTTTCATAACTGCGCATACAATGATTGCATTACAAACGCTCAGATATGATTTATACCTAAACATGTGCAATATTTTTGCAGAAATTGGGCTGGACATAGTTTTTTCATTTTCCCCCCAACTGCATTGACTCCGAGTACAATGTTGTAGATCCAAGAAAGAAAATGGAGTAACGTCTGTCACTGTTGTCAAAGGTTTACAAGTTCCTCTAATTATATACAACTTTTGATTAAAAGAAGGAATAAGATAAATGAGGTGTGAAGTCACCAAGCAAATTTCATACTTGGGGCATGTTGTAGATCATCAAGATTGATGACATGTGCA